TCCGGAGCAGAAGAGCGACGAGCTAGAGTCTTTGGCGGTTCAGTAGATCCCCGACTGCGACGCCTATGCGTGACTGGAGTGGATACTTGGCGGGGAACGGGTGGCTTGTCAAACCTTCCAGTCAAGCTGAGAGAAGGACGTTTGCCGGTGCGTTTAGTGATGGTGCGCTGACCCCACAGATCGTGCTCTTCGCCGTCCTGCTCCGTCTGCTGCGAGCGTGAAATGCCGCATCAGTCTCGGAGCTCTTTCGAACACGCATACAGGCAGTATCGAGACACGTCAGACTCACTGGCTCGTAGGGCGATAGCTGCGGTGATCTGAAGGCGGATGGCAAGGCGGATGGAGGTGGTCTGCTGGAGCTGGCGTGCTTTGTTCCAACGTCTTGCATGCGATTGATGGCGTGTTCAGACAAGCTTCTCATGATCTTGAAGTTGCGATCGACCATGGAATAGTCTGGTGTGACGGTCGTAGGCCCATCATTGCCGTGGAGTGGAGCGTCGGACGGCATAGAAGGCGACAGAGAGCTCGGGCGCAGCGTCGAGGCTGTAGTCGACGTGCGCATAGTCAACCGGACAAGAGGCGCCGTTGTGCGACAAAGTGACCAATCACTTTGTCTCTAATGAATCAGGCGCTTGGGTGCGATGATTCGCTTTATGTATATAGCTGTATAACAATCAATGTGCTGCTGGCGATGCTGCTGCTTGCTTATTGTTCGCTTCCTCGAGTCGGATCTTGCTGACAGCAAGGAGCTATATAGATGATGCGGATGGTGAGACAAAGTGACGTTGTCATTGCGGCCGGCGGACAGACGTAATTAGCCGGGGCCGCGCTGCTGAGCACTTTCGGACCCCATCATGATTTCAAGTTCATGCACGCGATTCCTATTTGCTTGGCTTGACTTGTATGCCACAAAATTGTGCGCGGCCCATTCGCGTATAGACTTCTTTATCAAATGTTTCATTCGCCTTGCTGTGGAGCTCACACAGCGCGATTACCAGGTAATCAAGAATAGAAAGCTGCACTTTGCTGAGCCCTTTGGACGCGAGATTAAGGGGCGGGCAGGCCCTCGTCCGCATACGGCCAGTTGCTTTATTCATCGATCAGCACATTAAGAGCCACACCGTCGCGCGACTTTCTGGGGTCTCTGCTTAATGAAAAATCTTCAAGGCTGCAGATGCATATACCTGCATGCAATCGCGGATATGGGCAGCAGGCCTGTCGCAGAAATACATGGGGTTTCAGGTGGCTGTGCGCCCGTTCAAACACTCATCGTGACGCGTCAAAGCTGGTGTGTTTGTTGATGCAGGCTCTACATCACCCACCATGAGCACCGATCGATCTGTTTGCATTTGATTCACAGCAGCCGCGCGTCTAGTCTTGAGTCGATTGAGTCACGAGCATTTGACTTCAACAAGACGAGCACCTGATCGATCGTGTAGCCCAGCATATATGCGCAGCAGCAGC